CCGAAATCACACACAGACACAGAGGGAGTCATTGGTGATGCTCCAAGTGCTGACTTGAACAGAAATGTTATCAGCTCGAGGAGGAGGGGAAGGAGCAGGGGAGAAAGGGAGGGAGGGGGGCTTTTCGAAGAAATAATGCTCTTATCAGCGGGCGCACGGCTTATTTGTAGCACGAGTAGAGGGAGAGCGAGCGGCTGTTTATGTGATGATCACGATGATGGGGATGATGATGGCGCTGGTAATAAAGATGGCAAGGAAGATGCAACGAATCAAATGATGCAAATTTGTGTACAATGGTAACAACTATGGTGCGCTGAAGTTCAAGGCCAGCCGCACATCAGCAGCAGCAGCATGGCAACGGGGCAAACTCACCCGCTGACTGCTGAATCGTTCATCCCACTTCAACAGTGGCTGATTCAGCCAATAATGTGTGGACTACTACTGCTAATCGTCTGCTTCGCGCGAGCGAATGCTCCTCTTGACGGTGGTTCGCTTCTTGAAGGAGACGGGCGCGTCGGAGGCTTTGCCGCCGCCCAGAGGCCGCTTCAGGTCAGCGACGGTCTTCTCTCGCAACGCCGGTGGCCGCCTTTCCTCGGCTTCAGCTTTCACATCCGCCTTATCCTCACCTCCCTTCTTCTCCTCTTCCTCTTCCTCCTCTTTCTTAACCTTCGACTCTTCGTTGCTTGAAGACTGCTGCTGCTGCTGTTGCTGTTGCTGCCTAAAGTCGATCATGATCTGCGACACGTCCTGCGTCGGCAGCTGCAGGTCGATGGCGTGCAGCTCTTCCTCCTTCTTCACCGTCTTCCAGCCGCCGCGAAGGTACTGATTAGATAGTCGGGCGTGAGAAAGCTCCGAAGAACCTGCTGTCGTTGCAGATCCTGCTGCTGCTGAACTGCCAAACTGATTCTGCTCGGCGATGCTGAGGAAGCCCGTTTTAGGTGGCTCGTGTCTCGTTTCTGACAAGTGTTGTACAAAGTTGAGAAGTGGTTAGCTTAACTTTGCAGCAATTGACCAAGTGACCAATTTCCACTGGCGCTTACCTAGGGTGTCCTTGTTCCAGTAGTACGTCGTCCCCTCGGCCGTCTTTGCCTCCAGCCACTTGCTCTTTCGCTCAAACGCCTTGGAAATGGTCTCCAGAGCGCGCTTCTTTCCGTTGACCAGCGTCTCTGATTCACCCGAGTCACTGAAGCTCTGGCCGAATCGGTTTGTAGACACCGTTGCCGGCGCACTTGCTTGTGCTCCTTTTGAGATGCTGGCGGAGGAAAGCTGAGGCGCCTCTTTTGCAAGGGACGGATTTCGGGCAATGTCGCCCTGAAAGGCATTGAGAGCTGAGGCTTCTATTTGCGCCATCACCGAGTTGTACTCCTGGCGCTCCTTCTCCTGAACGGTGCTGTTCCGTTGAATCTGCAATCGACATAAATAACAAAAATGAGCTAAAATACTGTTCAGGGTTGTTTGAATCACACTTACATCATGGACACGCTTCCGGACATTTCCCTGGTGACGAAAGCCTCTCTCGTGAAAGTCGCGGCTCTAAAACAGTTGATGGTAAAGGTAAAAGGTGAGTTCTAAAATCAAGTCAGCACAGTCAAGCTAGTGCACCGCCGACTCACCGCTTTATTATCGGTAATCCAGCACTTGCAAAAGTCGCAGTAGTACTTGGGCAGTGATTTCCAGTATTCAGACCTAGTGAAAGGAACAAAAATTACTTGTCAGTAAACCCGAACGTTCCCAAAAGTACTTACATTTTTGCCGATGTTCTGTACTGATGTTTTTGTTTTAGCCGTCGAAGTTCTATTTACACCGCAGTGTTGTTGCTGCTTTTGACCGCTACTTCGACTGCCACTGCCTCTGGTTCGGGTCGCAAAAATGCTCGTGTTTTGATTTGTCTTTCTCTCTTTCTCCTCTTTCCCAGTTGTTCTGATTCAAATCGCTTCTACTCGATCACTTTGGCGCCCATTTGAGGTTTGTCGGAAAAAACCTCAAAATCATCATCTGGTCATGCCCGATGATGCCCTCCCGAACCCGCTCTCGGCGGATACGCGACAGTACCTGGCAGATCTAGTCAAGCGGCGGTCAGAGCTGCAGGTAAGACTGACTGACTCTGGGAAGTTTGATTCATTCATTCACCCACATCTCCAATCTTTCCAGGAACAACTGAAGCAGCTGGAGGACTCTATTTACACCTTCGAGGGCGGCTACCTGGAGAAGACGCAGCAGTACGGAAACATTCTCAAAGGCTGGGACCGCTATCTGACGTCGAACCGGTCCGTTCCGTCGGTGAACGACAAGCGGAACATTCGCAAGTACAAGGAGGCGGATCGTCTCTTCTCCAAGTCTTCCAGTACTTCTCGAGTCAATGCTGTAAGTACAATGCTGGCACTTCTTGCGCTCAACCGATTTGACGTTTTTGTTTGCGGTTTTTAGGTGGAACGAGACAGCGACTCACCGGTGAATGAAAGCGAGACGCAAAATAACAACAGCGGATCTGAAGATGGTAAACGCTATACTCNTGGAGAAGACGCAGCAGTACGGAAACATTCTCAAAGGCTGGGACCGCTATCTGACGTCGAACCGGTCCGTTCCGTCGGTGAACGACAAGCGGAACATTCGCAAGTACAAGGAGGCGGATCGTCTCTTCTCCAAGTCTTCCAGTACTTCTCGAGTCAATGCTGTAAGTACAATGCTGGCACTTCTTGCGCTCAACCGATTTGACGTTTTTGTTTGCGGTTTTTAGGTGGAACGAGACAGCGACTCACCGGTGAATGAAAGCGAGACGCAAAATAACAACAGCGGATCTGAAGATGGTAAACGCTATACTCTTGCGGTTACACTTATTTGCTTACCTAACGTTTTTCCCCTTTAATCAGTAGGCGACGGCGCCATTTCTGCCGATGAGGTTCCCGGCCCAACGAATCCTGCCAAGATGGCTAAGGTGTCAAACAAGTCAAAGAAGAACATGGCCAAGAGACCAAAGAACAAGACTGAAGATTAAAAACTAAAACCAAGTATGTTTCACTTTCACTTTATCACTTTACCTTTGTAGCATGAAAATTACAATCCCACCTCCAACACATCACCAAATCACGCTTCACAAATCTCTCAAACATAACATTCTTTATTTTATATATCAGAATCATCAAAATAACAACACGTCATAACATGATTTGAGTCATTAGGGGGGGGGTGGATTGCACTTGAGTAATAGAATAGTTTACAGGCACTGTTTACAAGGAGAAAAGGTGGGTGTGTTTGTGTGCAGCTGACTACACATGAGCCACTAGATTGTGCGAGATATCACCATTAGAGAAGGAGGTGCGGCAGAAGGGCAACGAGGAGGAGGGCGGCTTGCCCACTCGGTGGCCGCCGCTGCAGAAGGGCAACTGCTGGGCGGCGAGCAGCTTCTGGAAGAAGTCCTTGTCGGTTATGGAACGGGGAATGTGGTGGTGGTGGTGGGCGTGTGTACTCTGGCTTTGTTGTTGTCCTAAAATCAGCCCTAACAGGTGGTGCCAGTAGGACTTGAGGCTGGGCCGATGACTGAAAGAAAAAGAGGAAGAGGAGTCGGAGTCTCGAGGACTGCTGGCGATGATCACCTCCGTGTCTATGGGCTGTACAAAGTGCTGCTGCTGGTAGGCGAAAACCTCGTCGTACGAGGGCGGCTCCTCCTCGCCTGTTTGCTGTTGAGCATTTTCACCACTGTACGACGGTGCAGAAAAGGTTTGCTGCTGTTGATGGTGGTGAATGAGCTCATTGTGGTTCAAGTACGGTCTTCCAGCAGAACTTCTGCTGCTGCCTGGTTGTGAGGCACTGTAAGGCAGAGCACTGTTGGCAATGGATCGGATTCTTCCGCTGGTGGCCAGCAAGTTCGTCGAGGTGACTTTCTCGAGATCAACAACGTCCTCATCATCATCATCTCTTGTTCCAGCAGCAGCAGCAACAGTCACTCCTTCAGGTCGAAGTCCAGACTGGCCGGCAAGGTAGAGCTGCTGCTGCTGCTGCTGTTGCTGCTCGGCGAGCATCGCCTCCGAGTAGCTGGGCGCAATCAGACAGTTGCTCAGCGTGTCCATCGTCGAAACTCGGGACAGAGGATTTGGCTGAAGCTGCTGCTGACCACAGGAACCATTCGCCTCACCGCCATTATAGTTGACGCCAAACAGTTTGACAATCTGCCAAAACAGTAAAGAATGGCAAAATCAGCAATTTTGAAACGGAAAGCTCGGAATCAAAACACCCCTCCCTTTCTCCTCTATTTCCACCTACCTGATAGTGGACGTAGGCGGTGTTGTACTCGAGCAGTACCCTCAGTGGCCAGGAAAGTAGAACCACTGAAAAGAGCCAGTAGGTGAGCTGATTGTTGTACCAGGGATTGACCGAAGAAGAAGAGGAGGTGCTGTCACCATCGCTACCACCACCTTTACCTCCCGTGGCAATCATCACCTCCTGCCAGTTGACGCCCACCAGGTCGAGGCCCTCGCGAATCTCCAGGTAGTGGTCGTAGCGTTCATTTGCTCGGAAGAAGGTCGACCGCTGCTCGTCAAACTCCGCAGCAGAGCGTTCATTTGCAAAGGCAAAGCCTGGGAAAGAAGAGGAAAAATCAAAAAGAAGAAGAAAAAGAAGAAGAATATGACTGTTATTATCTCGAAAAAAGCAGCGTTGATCACAGCATGGGATTGAGTGCTGCTGGCGGGAAAGCATTGGATAGGAAATCGAAGAAGAAGAAGAAGCCTTCTCTGTCCTGTGTCTCCGAGTAATCGGAGAGCTCTGGGCCTTCATTTTCATTTTCCGTGCCATTTTTTCCCTGTGGTAAGTGACTGTTTTTCGCCCCGTTGCCATTCTACATGAGCAAATTTGCAAATAACATCTGAGGCCTGGTAATCGCGCCACGGCGGCGGC